TGAGCCCATTGTTGCTGTCACTGTGTCGATCCATCCTGTCAAGGGTCTTCCTCTAACTTCATATATATATGTGAGCTTTCTTTAAAAAACTACAAGTTACAAATAAAAGCTGTCTCTTAGTACTGAAGAGTAATGATGTCAGTCTGGAGACTAAGGTGTGCCTGATACAGGCCATCATCTTTGCTATGCATCAGAGAGCTGGATAATGACTAGGAAGGATAGAAGGAGAATTGATGCCTTAGAGTTGTGGTGCTGGAGAAGAGTATTGAATATACCATGGACTGCTAGGAGAACAAATAGGTTCTTCCTGGAAGAGAGTTAAACCAGGCTGCTCCTTGGAGGCAAGGATTCTGAAGCTTTTTCTTACATACTTGACATGTTGCAAGGAGGGACCAGTCCTTGGAGAGGAACATCATGCTTGGGAGGGTGGAGGGACAGCATAGGAGAGGAAGACCCTCAACGAGATGGATTGATTCAGTGACTGGGGTAATGGGGGTAGGTGTATCAGAGACAATAAGATTGACACAGGATAGAGCAGGGTTTAGGGCTTTGTACATAGGGTCACTATGAGTTGCAGGGGACTCAACGGCATGTAATAACAACTTAGGGAATATCTTTGGATTTTCTTGTCTCTGATTTTTTGGTTTTGTAAAATGCTCTAGGAAGGTACAAGTAATCACTGGTTTAAATCAAAGTCGAAAAGATAGAAGAAGACATCACTGTTAGGGCTTGGGCACAGTTTGAGTGGCATGGTGAGGGGAGAGGCTGGGTGTGGAAAAGGTCGATAGCTAGACCCTAACTCCACCTCTGCCATTACAAGCAGCATGATGTTGTTACAAACCTTCTTCGGTCTCTTCATCCTTATCTTTAGAGCTCTTTTAAACATTTACCTGTTACTGCTAGCTGTCATCAAGTCATTTCTGGCCAGGGAGACCTTATGGATACCAGAACAGACTGCTGCTCAGTTCTGTATCTTCTTCCTTAGTCGTTGGTGTATTTGAGTCTAGTTGGATGGTGTTATATTGTGATCCACCAGTTTTCATTGCATAGCTTTGAAAGTAGATTGCCAGTCCTTTCTTTCTAGTCTTTTTAATCTGGAAACTCTGCTGAAACCTATGTGTCATCATGGCCCTGCTGGAATTTCAAGTCTGCATAGCTTCCAGAATCAGTATTGCTTCACAGTATTGAGAACTGATAGCCGAGGGTGGTGAGCAGCACTCAGTAGCTTCCTGAAAATTACTCAGAAAATGTAGAAACCAAAAGAAAATGTAGAAACCAAAAGAAAAACTCTTTAAATTAATACCAGGAAAATTCTGTCTCTGCATGTCTTCGACAGTAAACTGGTTGGCCATGAGAGACACCTGTTTGATGGGTTGTGGTAGTCATCTTTGACTTGCTGTGGAAACACTCTCTATGGGTACAAGTTTAGGCTTATGGTTGTGACTACCAGGGCATATTTGGGACATTTAAGGAAATAGCTTACTGAAGGAGAAGTGTGGGTTATTGAACTTGAATGCAGAGAAGAGAGGGGTCTATTGGAAGAATTTCCTTGTGAAGGAGGTATGACGGGATAGAAAGGGAAGTATGAGATGGAAGTAGAGCCATTCATTTAAGCATATATTCCTTCAATAACTGATATTTATTGTATGCTGTTGTTACTGTGTACCATAGAGTTGCAGCTAGCTCACCAGTGACTCTCCAGTGGGTTTTCAGAGGCTATAAATCACATGGGAGGAGTGATCTTTACCCCACAGGGCAACTTGTGGATTCAAACCATGTGCCTTTGGATTGGCAGCACATCTCCTTACCACTAGGTCACCAGAGCTCTCTGTTTATTGTCTACCTCGCCTGGTTCACATGACCAGATGAAAGAGACTGGCTCTCTCTTCAGAGAATCTATAAGGATGGGCCCTGGATTAAATCACCTTGATGAGGAATGGAGCCTTCTAAGCCAATGGTGTGGACATTAAACAGGCAGCATGTGTGAGGCAGTTGGATTCTGGAGGGTAGGTTCTCTTGATTTGCTTGAAAGTCCAGTGTAAACTGTTGGATCATTTTTTTGTTTTGTTAACAATTATGTGTAAACTGATTGGTCACCTAGATTTAGTGGTCTTATAAGCAAAGAGATCTTATAAGGAGCTGTTAGCTGTAAGCCTCTTGTTTTAAGTCTTAATCAGGACCTTGTAGGAGGACCTTTGTATTTAAAAGACAACTGGGTCCTCAGGCCTGCTGTTAATTGTGTTTGGGAAGAACATTATTCTAAGTGGTATAGTACTTGTCGGTCAGTTTGCTGTACTGAGATAACTTGGAGTTGCTGTGATTCCGAACTCTGTGTAACTAGTGTGTCAAATGCCTTAATGGTTATGCATGGTGGATAGGGTTTGGTAGAGCTCCCAGTTAGAGACAGGCTTGGAAGGAGGATTGGCGTCTGCTTCTAAAACAACAGGCCTTTGGAAATTCTATGAACAGTAGAGAAACAACAATAGTTATAGAACAGTGTTCAGATCTTTAGTTCATAGGGTCACTATGAATTGTATTCAGCCCAACAGTGCTTAACAACAGGAACAACAACATAAGAGCTTTGGAACCAGCAATCAAGAAGTCAAAAGATATGTTACATTAGGAAAATCTGCCATTGACCTCTCCAAAGTGCTAAAGTGCTACCATTCTATTTAAGGTGTACCTGATCCAGGCCTTGATCTTTTTAGTTACTTGCTATGCATCTAGAAGTTGGAAAATAAATAAAGATGACAAAAATTGCCTTTGAGTTGTGGTATTGGTAAAGAATACTGACTTTGTTTTGGACTGTCAAAAAGACAAAGAAATATATCTTGGAGAAAGTGGTAACCAGGGGCTGCTTAGAGTCAAGGATGATGAAATGTTATCTCAGATACTTTGGGCATGTTCTTAGGAGGAACCCGTGCTTGGGAAAAGACATCACGTTTGGAAGGGTGAAGGGTCAGCAAAAGGTGAATTGACGCAGTGACTGTAACAATGGACTCAAGGATATCAGCAATAATGATGATGGCACAGGAAGGGCAGGGTTCAGATCCATTGTTCATAGTCAAGGTTATGAGTTTATGAGTCGTAGTCAATAATGAGGATGGCACAGGATACAGCAGGGTTCAGATCCATTGTTCGTAGTCAAGGTTATAAGTTTATGAATCGTAGTCAAAGGATGGCACAGGATACAGCAGGGTTCAGATCCATTGTTTGTAGTCAAGGTTATGAGTTTATGAGTCATAGTCAATGAGAATGGCACAGGATACAGCAGGATTCAGAACCATTGTTCTTAGTCAAGATTATGAGTTCTAGTCGACTCAATGGCACCAAACAACAACAGTAATGGAAATGAGTTAGTTAATTAGAGCCCCACCTCACCCTTAAGGGGGAGAGGACCAATAGATTAGCAGATCTAATGGAAGGAAAGTAGTTGCTAGTCCAATCAGCTACTGATCAAGTTGATGTAAAACTTAATGAAAAAGACTTTAGAATATCCTTTGACCCTCAGCTCAAGCAGTTACTAAGGGGATAGCAAGCATGCCATTTGCCAGTTATGCTGCTGGCCTAGTTGGTAAGGAATTGTGCTTTCAACTCAAAGGCACTAGGTTCAAATCCATCTGTTGCTCCAAGAGAGAAAGGCAGACATTCTTCCATATTATTTACTGCCTTTGAAAACCCACTTGAGAGTCAGCTATGAGTAGATTCTGACTCAAGACCACAAGAACAATGTGATCTTATAAGGAGCACAAATGCATTAGATTTTGAGCTGCTAACCAACAGCTTGATTGGTCAAACCCATCAAGCCCTTCACAGGGTGAAAAACGGACAAGTAAATATTTACAACCTCAGGAAACTGATAGAGGGTCACTACGAGTCTGAATTTATTTGGCAGCAGTAGGCCTGGTTTTTTTTTCAGTTAGAACTGTCATAATTTTTTTTAAGTGTTAATGTAGAAATGTCTTTAGGGTAGGGAATAAATAGAAACTCTTTTAAAACACCTTTCTAGTGTGTACATTAAATGTTCGCCTTAGTTATTTATTGCTGTTGTGACAAAATGTCCCAAGTGGATGGCTTTAAAGAGCAGGAGTTTATTTCCTCATGGTTTTGGAGGCCAGAAGTCCAAGTTAGGGTCTTAACTCCTTCCTTGTTGGTCACCCTGGATTCTTCTTTGGCTCTCTTATTAGTAAGTGGCCCTTGCATGGTGTTTGTTTTTCCTGTGTGTATGCATCTGTCTGTCCATTCTATCCCTTTTAGAAGTTAGGTATAATTAGTTTTAAACTCATGATGACCTCAACTAATTCTATCTTATTAGATTGTATTGTGGAAGGAAGATGATTCCATGCCATAAGATATAATTACAACATAGATATAGGGATACAGATATTTTCTGGGGAGCGCAATTGAATCTGTAACACTTATGGGATTGTTGATGCTCATGATCCAGTTTTCAAACCTGAGTGAGGGTGGCGTGAACCCAACAGCTCAAGTTGAAGGTTGAACATTTAAATCATTTCCCTGGTGTGTCACTTTCATTGTTCTTTTCCTAAAGACTTGTTCTAGTTATGAACTTCTGACCTCCTTGTGTTAATGTCCTGACCACGATTCAGACATAGGCAGCAATTGAAATAGTAGTCTCTCTTTCCCCTGCTTTTACAACCATTGTAGTTTTTCAGAGCTACATTTAAGATAAACATTTAAAGTACTTGCTAGACTCTTAGTTCCCAGAGTTCTGGATAAGATGACTCTCATGTCCTTGTGGGAAATGAATAGGTGTGATCTGATTCCACTCAGGGCATTTGGTGCTGGTTGCTTTTTGAATGGTGCTACAATGAGTCCTGTGCTGGGGACAGGCCTCCTGCCTCAGTTAATGGCATCTTGGATAGCTGCACCTTGTTGTTCTGAATATAGCATTCATTAACCCACTTCTGTGGAGGTGAAGGGGGCAAAGGAAATTTGTTTGACTCTTTCTCAATAATTTTTTTTAACCCCCTTTTCAGCCAGTACAGGCTACTCTGTCATCTTTGAAGATGTTAGATGTGGGAAAATGGCCAATTTTTTCCCTTTGTTCTGAGGAAGAGCTGCAGTTAATTCGTCAAGCTTGTGTCTTTGGCAGTTCCGGCAATGAAGTTCTATATACTACAGTAAACAATGAGGTAATTTTGAAGGAACTTCATCCATCCGCAGTTTTTGGTAAGAGAGCTTCTAATCTGAAGAACTTGGGGAAAACTAAGGAGATAATGTCAAAAGGGCATAGGAACACACACACACACACACACACACACACACACACACACGCACGCGCGCGCATCCCCCGTGGGACAGCTCTCTTATTTTATACTGAAGAGGTTTTATTCAGGTAATTTATAGGTCTATCAGAAGTAGAACTGTGTTAACCAGCAATGGCTTTTCTCACAGATTTTTGTGCTTGGCACCAACTGCTGCGGCTGTCTAGGGTTAGGCGATGTCCAGAGCACCATTGAACCTCGGAGACTGGATTCTTTAAGTGGCAAAAAAATAGCTTGCCTCAGCTATGGGAGTGGCCCTCATATTGTCCTCGCCACAACAGGTAAGCTGGAAAACTGGAAAAGATTAGAGTTCCTACCCCTTGGAGGCTAGGATTTTGAAGCTCCATCTTACATACTTTGGACATGTGGCCAGGAGGGACCAATCCTTGGAGAAGGACATCATGCTCAGAAGGGTGGAGGGACAGCTCAGGAGAGAAACACCCCACATGAGATGGATTGATACAGTAACTGGGGCAATGGGGTAGATTTGTCAGTGAGACTGGCTCAGGATAGGACAGGTTTCAGAGCTGTTGTACATAGGGTTGCTATGGTCACAGGCGACTCAGTGACACTTAACAACAACCTTGTTTGTTACAAGGTAAACTAGAACATCTCCTTAAACCAAGAACATGCCTTTTCAGTAAGTACGATTGCTGGCTCTGTCCTTTGAGCTCACCTCTGCTTTGGACAAAGTAAAATATGAATGTATCCAGATACGATAGCCACAAAATTGTTGTTGTTGTTGATTGCTATCGAGTTGAGCATAGCAACCCTATGAATGAAAGACCTGAAACCTTTCTGTAACTATTGTTGTTTCTCAAAGTTCATAGAGTTTCCAGAGACATGTTGTTTAGGAATTGGGTGCCACAGTCCTGTTTCCAAACCACATAATAGAGTGGATGAAATCTGGTGATCTTTGGCAATTTAAATATATGAATTTCAAGATTTAAGCACAGTATGAATGGTGAAGAGACTGAGATAGTTAACAGTTTTAGTTTGCTTGGCTCCACAGTCAACACTCTTGGTACCAGCAGCC